GACAAGCAATCCCAATAATAATGAACATCAAAATTGATATTAATTATATCTCATAGATACACGAGTTAAATGATCTAATAACATTTATTTAGTTTTGGATATTCTGCAATTTAAATTGTTATTCTGAAACAACTTCGTAAGGCATTTACCAATAATTCTAATTAATAGTGTTATAACATAATAAGTTGTAAAAGATATATTTACGTAAGGAAATTGGGTGTAAAGGATTAGTGACAAAATTTACTTTTAATGTGGTTATAGCACAGATATATTGAATTAAATAAAAAAATATGTTTCAATTAAATTGTAGAGTATTTCGTTTTATGCGCAATTAGAATGTACTTTGTGTTAACCAATTTTGTTGTTACATTATTTGCCTAATTTAAAATAATTGCACTAAGACAATTTCAAGAAAAATAAAGAATAAATAACGATATTGATAACATTATCTAAATAGGTGAACCGTTTTCTAAGAGTACAACAAATACTTTCAGAGATGTTACTAAGAAAATAATCCTTCCCTAAGACTCCTAAGTTATTCCAAAATAATATACAGTGTGTCCACGGATTGAGTCTAGAGGAGGAATTTTTTTTTCGGAAAAAAAATGAAATGAAAAAAAGTCGATTATTAAATGTTCTCGAAATAATTTCAGAATCGTGAAATGTGAATGAAATTAAGTAAAAAAAATCCTACACACAATTTTTTTGGAATGATTCAGTTTATTGTAACTGAGGCCTAAAATTTATTTACATGAATATTTTTCAGAAATATTGAAATCATTGCTGGTAAACAGGAAACAAACTCAAAAGATTTCTATTAAGCATATGTACTGTCAAGTTGTTAGTAGTTCCGACCATTATTTCGCTTTGTGAGAATTATATTTTATCTAAAAAATATGATTTTTTTTCCTTCCCTATGGCTCATCTGAGTTGACTCCGAGGGCACTGCAGCCTTCTGGGCTTATTGTGCACTCCCTATTTTGCTTTACTCTACCCATTCCAGTACCCCTGTGCCACTGATCAAATGGTACAGGTATATGACTGGATGAGTTCTGATGGTTTCCGGGTCGGTTTGTGTTTGCCCGTATATATTGTACCTCCTACGAGCTAATGCTTCGCATTCGAATATGATATGATCCACGGTTTCTGGTTTTTTCCCATATAGTCTGCAGTATAAGTCACCATCATACATTCTCATTGTTTGCAGGTGCCTTTTAACAGCCATATGTCCTGTTAGAAGCACTGTTACTGTTTTCAACTGAAACCTAGTCATTCTTAACAGTTCTTCAGTTTGTTTGGAGCATGGGTCTTTGATTAGTGTTTTCCCATGTCGGTTGCCTAATATTCCTCCAGTAATTGTTATGTTGCTTCTTGATCCAGTCTCTGATGATTCCCCTTGCTGAGAATTTGGAAATACCCAGCACGGGTTCTGGGCCAAGAAATGGGTCAGCAGATCCTTGTCTAGCAAGGCCGTCTGCTTCTTTGCTGCCTGATATCCCAGAATGTCTGGGCACCCAGAGTAATTTAACTCTGTTCCGTTCTCCCAGAGTTCTGAGCTCTTCATGACATTGCAATACCAGTCTTGATGACACTTTATATGAGGCTAGTGCCTTCAGTGCTGCCTGGCTGTCCGATACGATAAATATTTGTTGATTCTCGTACGCTCTGCTTATGTTTTGATGTGCACATTGTAGTATCGCGCAGATTTCTGTCTGGAATACAGAGGAGTAGTGTCCCAGTGAGAGGCTTATAATCTCCCTTGGTCGTTCTCCGTATATTCCTGCGCCAACTCCTGTTTCTATCCTAGACCCGTCTGTGTACCGTTGGGTTGTCTTAGGCCACCACACTAACGCAGCGTACGTGATTGTAGGTTTTATTACCTTGGTATAGAGCCAGTGCATCATACTAGGTCTGAGTCCCCACCGATTTCCATATGATCATCTGCATATTGCCAATGTTGCTACCGATCTTTGTATGATCCTGTCCAGATGTTGGTTCCAGATAAATTTGGAGTTTATAATAACACCAAGATATTTTACCTCTCCCAACATCTGTAACTGTGTTGCTCGAAATACTAGAGGACTTAGTCCCTCCAGGTTCCTTCTTCTGGTAAATAGAACGATGGTTGTTTTAGGAGGACTAACCTTTAGCCCTTCTTCATCTGTCCATTTTTCTACTACGTTCAGGACCTTTTGTAACCGATCCCTTAATGTGCAGTTAAATTTCCCCTTTACGATGATGACGATGTCGTCAGCATACCGTTGGGTCTCAAAACCTTCATTAGTGAGTTTATTCAGAAGTCCGTCCACTACAAGGTTCCATAGGAGGGGGGACAGGACTCCTCCCTGCGGACATCCCCCTGGAACTGATGCCCCTATAGTCTCACCCATCATGGTGGTGAATATCACCCTGCCTTTAAGCATGCTTTAAAAAAAATGCTTATATTAGCAAAAAAGATTATATTGCTCAAGGTTATGGTTTGAAACATAACTTGAGATACTTTACGATATACGGCCTAATGCTGCCAATTTAATTGCAACTGAATGTTTGAGGGAGTTCTCCAAGGTATTGCTAAGAAAAATTGCTTCCGGACTTGAAAACGCAAATAAATTCCTTTCACAAAGGGTCAATAAAATTCGACCATTTAAACCACAGATCAGTCACACTTTGGAGGAAACCATGATATGAAACTTTATTTGTGGATAGATAAAACTATTCTCAAAGGCAGGCAATTGTTGAAAACATTATTTTTACCAATAGAGCAATTAGGACACAAAATTTTAAATATTGGAGCAACGAAAATCCATTGTAGACAATATTCAAACAAAATGTCAATCAACATTCGTAGCACACTTAAAGCTAGTAATGAAAGTATAATTAGTACATTATTTTTATTTGACTATTTTTAAGAAACTTTGATATGTTGAACCATGAGATTTTTCAGTCTATTACATTTTATAGGTTTTTGTGGTGGTGTTCGAGATCAATTGTCCTTGTTTTTGTTAGTCGAAGTTCAACAAGAAAAAATTGGAAATAATGTATCTAAATCGCTAATAGTTATATTCAGAGTTCCTCAGGGTAGTATCTTAGGTCCCATTTTATTTTCCATTTTTACTTCACGTTCTAGAGAATCGTTACAATTATCATCTATATGCGGATGATACTCAATTATATTTCTCGGTTAACCTGATAACCTTGAATATGTTTAATAATATGGCCATACTGATTTAAATATTTATAATATTTCTAACGACCACCTTATAAAATTGTTGGGATATTAAAATTTTACTAATTCTGTAGTGACTGATTGTGTGATACAGAACGAACATTGTGATAATACATTATATTAACAGTTCAAAAAATCTTAGACTTGTGATTGATTATAATTTGCGTTTTAGTAACCACATAACTTATTGGTTAAAAAAAGCATAAACCTCATTAAAAATTATATACTATCGTAGACACTATTTAGTGATGGAAACAAAAATTTTATTATGCAATTCCTTGCTACTCTTACATTAGGTCATTGTGACAGTGTTTATGGTTTATGTTTTATAGTGGCGATCTCCTACAGAAAGTATGAAATTCTTGCTTACGTTTAGTTTTTGGTATTAGATAGAGACAAAGTTGCACATCACATTTTCTTTTTATAAAATATACCAATATGAAACTTCTTCCTTTCGCTGCGGTAAAATATCCTACAGGACTGATGATAATATTAATAAAGAACTTGTTTACTCTTCCTAGTTATAATAAACAAATTTTTAAAGGTCTTATAGGTAACATAAATTTCACTTGTATCAATTTCAAAAAGGTGTCAAGCTTTGCTCTCGTTATTCAAACTAAGTACAAATTAAGAGAAAATTATTGGGAAATCAGCGAATTTTATTCTATATTTGATATTTATTTTTTTCACTTCCTCTTATAATCATTTCTTCTCTCTCATACTAATTTCGTTTATTTTACAAATATGTTGTTTGAAGCTTTCATGGAAGATCAATCTCTGAATACACTATGTACACAGATAACTAAACAACTAAACTTTGTTCCTCAAATTATTATACTGTTTTTATATATGTTGTAATAATGTTAAAAATTGTAATTTTGACTGACAATAAATATGTTTCTTTTTCTTTTCGGATTCCCGAAAATGGACAGTAATCGCATGGTACCGATTTTTTGTACTATCTGATTTGGACCTGGGTTTTTATATGTTGAGAATAGAAAACTGTATCTTAGGATAAAACGCCATATTTAATTTAAATAAATAAAGTCCACAATAGCCCGTTAAACGGATGGCCACCTAGGTTGCCCGATTTAAAACCCCTGGATTTTCTCTCTGAGGTATTAAGAGCAAAGTATGAAAATCACCTCTCCAAACAAGAGAAAAACTATGCGCGAGAATAAGGGATGTATGTATAGAAATTACTCCTAAACAATTAAAAAATTTAATAAAAACGTCTTGAAGCGGTATAAAAAATATGTTAAAATGGTGGAAGTATCAAAAATTTAAGTTGTTCGTTATTGCTTAGGTATAGCTTTATACGTTTTTTGTTACTGTTGTTGATAATAAGATTCATGGTTTGAATTGTTTTTTTCCCTCCATTCCACTAGTTGCTTGTAGGATAAATAATGTAAGAATTAATTTCGTCACAAAATTTTAAAATTTGATACAATAGGGGTCCTAAATTCACTGGCATAATCAGATTTTTCATAAAAAAAAATCGCTAATGGGATTTCTTGAATTTCAACCCTGAAAACAAATCGTAGTAGGCTTTTATAAATAAAATGTCGTTTTGTCTTAAGATACGATATTTAATGGTTTTCATTTAAACAAAAACCAGTCCAAATTTTTTTAAAATTATTATTAAACACCACAGGTAATACAATCCCTTGTATCCATGAAGGTATCTCAAAATACCTTCCGGAGAGCAGGACATTTGACACACACACAATGCCCGAATATGCTAAGATTAATTTCTGTGTTGTAAAAAAGCTCCTAGCTCCTCAGCTGGGGCTTGAACTCGGGACTCCAGGGTGAGAAGCAAGTATCCTTACCACTAGACCACTAAGCCACACAATAAAATGAAAAATAAAAATTTTATGGGTATGTCCAAGTTCTTAGCGGGCCACACTGTAGGTCCATTTCACTAATAAATAAATAATCCGTTGAATAGAAAATAAAGTTACTAAATGAACATAAATTTCCGGAGGTCGGACCTGTATAAAGTGTGGTATAAAGACTCGTGCATAATTTTTATAGCTGCCGTAGGAGGTCTACTTTATCGGTAGATCTAGGGTAATTTGAGACAAATGGAATTGTTATGATATTCCACAATTATGAAATTTAAGATGAGCTATGTTATGAGCTCGTGCTTTACGTCTTGCGAGTTCAGTGAAAGTCATCATGATTAAAGTTTTTTGTTACATTTTAGATTTATGAATGAACTTTTACGCCATATGCAGATGTATATTATGTAAATGTGTGCATATATTTTGTTTAGGTTTGTTTTGATCTTATTTTGATTCATTAGAATGTGATCCAACTACATTTAAAAATATAATGAAAGAAGAAACTCAGTAAAAGGTACATGTCTTGTTGGGTACATGAGTATGTCCGTCCGTAATTACCGTTGCTTTAAATATTCAGACTTAACCATAAGGCTGGTGGTTACCAAAGTAACATAAAACGTTTAAATTGTGTATCCAATGAGCATATAATAATAATAATAATAATTAATGTCTTTATTTTCGATTATTTTGTACATTATACAATACAGTAAACATAAATAGAAAAGAAATCGGAAACCTCAAGGGGGAGTTCATTTGTAAAATGCTCTTCCACTCAACCCTTCTTTTATTTAAAAAAATAATATGTTATATATCCTGACTTATAATAGATTGCTATAAATACTTTTAATATTGTATTACTTATATATACATACAAAGAAACACATATACATTCACAAAAATAAAAGATAAAAAACATATCATTTAGGAAAAGAAAAGAAAAATTGAGAGCTTTCATTTACGTTTACGGCACACTCAGAGCATTCATCTGTCAGAAAAACGTCTTTTAATAGGTTTTTTAAATTTAGAAGGGCTATAACTTTTATATTGTTCTGGGACAGCATTATACAATTTGTATATATTGAATTTAAAACTTCTTTCGAAAGTAGTAGTTCTGTGCGGTGGGGATGTAAGCAAACCTCTGGATCTGATGATTCTGATGTTAATATTATGAACATCAGTTCGAAATGAGATTTTTGCAAATAAGTAAGGCGGCTGTTTAGTTAAAATTATTTTATGAAATAAACAAAGTGTATATACCTCACGACGATGTTTCATGTTGAGCCAGCTGAGCTCTTTTAATTTATGTGATACACGGTCATATTTCCTTATGTCAAATATGAATCTAATACAAGAATTTTGGACGCGTCATATCCTACTTACAGAGTCTTGGTCGAGGCAGGGATCATATACAGGTGCGCAAAATGCAAACTAGGATAAAACTAATGTCTCACACATCATCCTCTTAGTATCTTGATCCAAAAATGTCCTATGTGGGTAGAGTAACCTTAATGCTGCATATGCTTTTTGGATGTTTTAGTTGTTTGCTCCCGAAAACGTAATGAGCGGTCAATAATTAAACTTAGGTTTTAACAGAATTGAATGGCTCTATCCTAACACCCTTGACATTAATATTTAAGTTTTCTGACAAGGTAGAACAGTCTGACTTTTTTCAAAAATAATAACAGCTGATTTCTTAGCGTTTAATATAAGAGAATGATCTGCAGAGACCATCGAAAGCTTTTCTAAATCGCTATTTATCTTTACCCCGGCTGTATCACAGTCTTTAGCATAAAATGAATAGTACAGCTGAGTATCATCAGCATACATGTGAATAGTGCAATATTGAATAAACTTAATAAATTGACTAGTATATACTGTGTACAGCAGACGACGCAGAACAGATCCTTGAGGGACGCCCGAAAGAAGCTGCCTCGATCCCGATAAATTACCCCTTATTCTAACCTTTTGCGTGCGTCCTACTAGGTACGAATGAAATAGCTCCGAGCCTTCAGCATATACACCACAGGATCCTAGAATTGCCAATAGTATAGAGTGTTTGATAGTATCAAAGGCTTTGCTGAAATCCAGTAACGTAAGAGCTGTACACTTACCATAATCACTAGCTTGTATAACATCAATATGCAATAATAAAGTGGCGCAACTGAAACCCGAACGGAACCCAGACTGTACTATTGGCAAAATATTGTTAGCGTCCAAGTATCAAGAGAGAAATCTGAAAATGAATGAAAATTACATAAGTAGATGCCCAAGTTTCTACTCCAATCTTCCAGCATTTATGGCACCTCTGTCGTGTAATAGAGTCGTCCATGGGCCTGTCCTTCGGGAGGTGGTAATCAACAACAACAAAAAAATCTATTAAAGGATATTTAAAAAAGCGATATTTACCTATCTGTTTGTTAAGTTTTATATTATTTATACTATCTCTATTTTTTTCCTTGATGTACTGTATACGGAAAAATCCAAGCAACTTTTTGCTTTGGGAATTGTACATAATGGAAAGGTTTTTTTGGGTAAGAGGTCCAATGTTTAGAAAAACTAGTTTTTCTAAACATTGGACGTTTTACCCAAAAAAAACCTTTCCAGTTATAATTTACTGGTCTAAAATAACTACGTGTATTGTACGTAATATTATTTGGTTATATTTTTAAATTAATGTATAGTTCAGTAATTTTGCTTTCTCCAGTGCAACATAATAATCACACAAAATTCCCAAGGTACATGATGTAAGTAATATTTTAATTTAAAATAATTAAAGTAAAATTTTTTTCTTTTGCGTCTTTAGAATTGTTGAAAATGAATGTATGAGTTTAAAATTATATAGTTCATAATGATGTATGTGAAATAAGTGTATTATTAACTTAATCATTGACAAAAGTCAGTATAGTAACATGTTGTTTTTACGGAGGTAGGGTCAAAACTTGTTTAAGAATCATAGCGGTTATACACTAATTAGATGTAAATCTGCTTTTAATCTTCGATGGAATAGGTAAAATTTTTTGTAAAAATGTTAAGAAATCAGTAATAATGATACAACTGAAACCACTGAACAGAGAATTTTTTGCAAAAACACTACAAGTTATAACATACCGTGTGTCCCAAATTCGATGCTCTCCATTGCGATTTCGGAAATTATAAGAGCTACAAGGTCGGTGAAATGGGACAAGTTTTAGCAAATTTTATGCTGATTCCAAATCCGATAAGAAATCACGGCTAACTGAAACCGTTTTTGAGATATTCCATAAAAAAATTAAATTTTGTGATTTCCCTTTTTGGGCTGTAGCTAAGTAATCCTTGGCCAGACAGGTTTTACACCTTTATATTATTAGGACACACTTTAGAGACTAATATTTTGGTCTAGAAACGAATGCTCGATAGGATTTTGTTTTCGAGATAATCGAGGTAACTTTTGTTTTTCTTATGGCAGCCGTAGTGGATTTTTCATTTTTGATATTGCTCTTAAAAAGAGCTGTCAGATGATGTATCACATGCCGAGGGAAATTTGTTTTTCAAGGGACTAATTTAAGTAGAGTTATCCTGTTACGTTGCTTTTTGCGATGGTAACAATAGACTCAATACTCAGTGGAGTTGGATGTCGGTATTTACAAAGGTTGTACTTATTTTGTTAATAAAGGGGCGCCAAATAATTTTCTTTACATACCTCCTCTCAGATTGAAATTACTAAAACCATATTTCTAGCAAAACCTTGATAGTTTTCACAAATATCACAATTTAAGATAAAATGTAAAGTTTATTTATGTTCTGATAGCAGAAAATATCCCATAATATGTCCATATTAGTGGCATATGGAACTTATAATTATTGCTAATAAGAAAAAAAACACATTATATACATCTATCTATATACATTAAGATGATACCAGAAAAAATCTTTTTAAGCTAACCTAACTCTCGAGAGTGCAGTTCAAGATAGAGGTAGCTTATTTAACAAAAAAAAGACACCCCCTAAATACCTTTATCTATAGACTGTCACAAATTTATTTACAAAAATCTAGGTAGATTCGTATCCTTATGTAAGTTTACACAAAAAAAATTTATGATCTAGAAATGATTTAAATTATACACACAAAATATCCCCACTGTCAGGGTTGGTTGAAATCAGGGACATGAGATTACCCCTTGCTTTTGAGGATAACAAAACACACAAAAAAAAATGGCAAGAAAAAGTTAACTAAACTATCAGAAACTTGTCTTGTTTAATTTATGAAAGATAGTCGGTATTTTTACTTCAAGACGAATTTTCGCGAGTAAATAAACATGTATTATAGCCAAATGATAATAAAAGTTCATAGAAATTCCACTATGTGGTACTTATCGTAGTACGGTTGTTTCCTCTGTATCACTACAACGGAGTCGCCCTATGAATATGCTACACTCTGATTTCCAATATTTCCTCTGAGGACACGGCCCTTTCGAACGTCAATAGTTTTTCAAACCATATCGCCGACCATTTTCGATCCAAAATTAAGGCTTGTCAGAAACTAATTAAATGTTTATCAATTATCATTCGCCCAGAAAAAAAACGCCAAGAAACAAAAGAAATTATGTCAAGAACACTCTCATAATAACAGCGTAAAGAAACTTTAAATAATGGATAAAACTCACCTCCTGTGTTACAATAACTATGCACCAGGTATACGTTTTTCTATTTCTTCCACTAACTCAAAAGAAATTATTCAATAAAATGTCAACAGACGATATTGTCCAACCATATATTACACCATATATCGTCCTTATAGAATACCCGATAGAAAAGCCGTTGAAACGTTAAATTTTATATTAATTATCCACTAGGTTATCCCTTCTTTACGTCGAAACAAAGTATACAGAACTCCTGCTGCTATTCTATCATGCCATTTTTTCCTTTCCAACAAAAACCCGCTCGCTCCATGAACGTCTGATAAACTTATATACAGGGTTAGTCCCTGATTATCATTTTTAAATACAAATTGTTGTCATGACAC